CTTGAACCTCGATCAAAGAGCCGTGACCTAACTAGTTGTCAGCGATCCAAGAGCTGTTATACTGGCAGGGTATTTCCAGGAACTCGAACTCTTCTATCTCATCTCCGATTCCAAAATGCGAGCACCTCCATTCCTTCCAGCCATCACATTTGGTCCCGATTATACCCTTTGGAGCAACGGCTGATTAGCTCTCTTTTAAACTCTTATTCGGGAAAGGAAGAAGCACGAACTCTGACACCTTGGTCTTCCTGCTTGTTGTCAATCTAAGGAGACCTTGTGGGATAATTCTACAGCTTTCGTGGAAAGGATTTTGTACTGCTGAAAACATCTGGCTCTACACGCTGCCGTTTTTAGCAGAGGTGAAAGATTCTGTGGGTACGCATTTCCAGCTATTCAATTAGAAGTCAGTTACCATGACGATTTGCTCCTGCGGAGGTATGAAGTCAGTGGAGTTTGAAGATCAAGTGTCACTTGCCAGCCAACTTACAGTTGATTGCTGAGCTTGCAACGAGAGGCGTTTCTTGATTGTCTGCTCTCTGATAATCTTTTATTTGCTTATTGTTCTTACTATTGCGATGGATGTAACAGTATTGTTCCCTTCGGATGATGGAGGGGAGGGGGGTCATTGCTGTTGGGTTTGGGCAGGTGGCCAGCTCGTTGGTAAGCGGACTAAATAGCCCACGATGGACACAGTCTGGGCAATCCTCGTTAGGAACTCTCACAGATGGGATGTCATATTGGTCATGGAGAGGAGGCGAATCTGCTCGTCGTTGAGAGTGGAATGGTATTAGCCTTCGAGATAATTTTGCCGGCGTTTCGCGTTTTTTGCGCTGTTTTCCTTTTTAACGAGTGCCTTACTTCGCTCGAATCTCGGAGGAAAAACAGAGAAAATTTTTGGTGAAAGTGAAGAAGTTTGGTAATTCACGCAAGCTCGTTAGATAGGAATGGGAAGGTTGGGGCTAAGCAGATGACGAAATCGAGAGGGGAGCCGTCGTATCCCCCCCGGAAATTTATCCGCAGCGAGCAGGGCAGATGCCCCTGGGTAAGCATATGCGCTGGCCACGTGCCGGAAGAAAAAAAAGAAAAACGGGTTTCGTTGGCTGCCAAGCCCCGGCAGCCCTATCAACCGCAGCGAACGACTGCTAGTAAGGGAGCAATGACGACGCCACAAAGCCTTTCCCACCAAGAATTCTTCTCATCCGATCTCGTCAGCTTCCTCCTCCTTCACTGCACTTGAATTTCCTTCCAAATTTTGCACAACGAGCTACTCAGTTCGCCAAAAATTGCCAGTGCCTTTTTCTTCGATTTTGAAAATGAAGAGACAAAGTGCTGTTCAGAATGGTCAGCTACAAACTTATCTACTTCGATGGACGAGGAGCCGCAGAGATTGCTAGGCAGGTATGCCTGTTCCAGTGTCATAGTTCAGCCCTTCTTTATAATACCCCAGACTGCCTTTTTGGTCTAAACTGGCTTCCAGTAACCGTACTTCCGAGATAATGTTTCCAGGTGTTCGCCCTCGCGGGACAGGATTTCAAAGACGTCCGTCTAAGCCATGAAGAGTGGCCAAAGCACAAAGCTTGTGGGTGTTCAGCAGCAAAAAGTTTCAGAGGGAAGCAATATCGAGGGACCTTTTCTGATTAATAACTTCATTGTTCAGCTATGCCATTCGGACAGTTGCCGGTACTTGAAGTCGACGGAAAGCAGCTACCTCAGTCCTATGCTATCGTCCGCTACTTGGCCAGAAAATTCGGTAGGTATTAATCAACCTGTTGATTTACCAAGGCATAGGAGTACTTCTTAGTTTCAAGGTTTCGCGGGCAAGAACGAGTGGGAACAAGCTCAAGTCGATGCGATCGCTGACCAGCACAAGGATTTCCTTAATGAAGCTCGTCCATACTTCAAAATCGTCATGGGAATGGACAAGGGCGATCCGGTAAGTTCATTGGATTGTGCCCATTCTGCAGTGAGAAAGAGTACTTCCTTACAGGAAACCGCGGCAAAGGAAATTTTCGAGCCTGCACGTCAAAAATACTTCGAAATGATCACAAAGATCCTCAAGCAGAACAAATCTGGTAAGTCCTGTCTTGAGGAGGTCTTTTAAGTATTCAGAAGGCAAATGAGCGCCCACAGACACAATGTTTAACAGTTCACCTTGAACCCAAACCCAAGTACCGTGGCTAGCAATAAGCTAAGCAAATTCAAATCATGAAGAGTGATTAGCATAAAGATGAATTTTTGTTCGCCCGTCCTACGAATTCATACGTTTGTTCGCTACGTACTGGGCCGTGTCAGGAGGCTGGCTTAGGCGCGGCGCCAGCCTGTTCTCCTCCAGTTATTTAAGAGAAGGCGACAGCAAAAAAATGGTGAAAACCGGGCTGGCGCGGCTCTAAGAAGCGGACAAGATTGTGCGCACTCAAGCACCCATGAGCTTCTTGGTGAGCTGAGGTGGGGTAGAATGGCATCGTTTACCAAGCGAGGGGTCTGAAGGTCAACGTTCGGATCGACGACCACTCATTCTATCCACCTCGGTTCTGTTGACTTTTCTAGACTTTTTTTAGGAAGAAAAAATTTTTCAAAATTCAAATTCAAATTTTTTTTTCATTCGTCTTCCATCAAAGCACGCATTCTGTGCGTTCGTGAACTTTGAGCTTGGCTCTATCGTTGAGGGAACATGCCACGCTAGACATAAGGGTGGCGTTACCTAAACCATTGCGCTTTCTCGAGGATTTACTTTCTACTTTGCCATTTTGGCCATTAGATGAACAGTATGAGTTATTGCTAAGCTGTTTAAGCTATTCCGCGATAAACTAGGGCTAGGTTCTCATAACCGTGCCCGACGGTCAAGCAGGCAACGTCAGAGGCTATGCTGCTTACAAAAGTTGAAAAACAGCAAGCAAAACGCGGCGCGCTCAGCTTTTAGGCCCATTGGCGCCCGATAGGCCCATGCCGGCCTCCAGTGACCGTGTCCGGTTGTGATGACTACGCATTGTGCTCTCGCAGTCGTCGTTTCTGGCCTCTCTGTCTCTTATCAGTTCCTCGCGCCTTTTTGCCATCCACAATCGATCTTGACCACCTTACGCTCGTCCGGTGATCATGATCAATTGAAATAAAGAGGGTCTTATTGCGGGCGCTTTTTCGTGGTTCCTTCCCTTCAATAAGTCAACAACCACAGGGCAATCTATTTTTGAACTGTATTACCTATGAAGTGTGGTCGCGGGAAGTGCCTTTAAAGCTATTCCGCATGGGTGGAATGTTACTCTAGTCAGTGCATCGACTTAGCATATGAAGAATTTTTGCTCAGGATTACTTTAATAGTATTCGCCGGTTTTTAAGGCAGTACCATTACAGGCTTAATTGAATTTCATCTTGAAGTCTCCAAATTAATAATTCAGGATACCTTGTCGGAGACTCGCTGACGTTCGCCGATCTCTACTTGGCCGAAATGACTACGTTCGCCGAAAAGTTCCCGAAGATGTACGATGGCTTCCCTGAGGTACACCATTCTTCTTGTGTGACTGCTCTCTTCTCTAAGCAACCAGTGATGAAGACGCCGCGGGTGCGCTCATCCCGTGCATATTGACACGGCTCCCGTTCCTGAGCCATTTATGAATGCGTTCCCGTCAATAGCATCGCTGTTACGACGTAGCGCGACGATGCGCGTCATCGCGAAGTCTGAACGCAGCCTTTGCGACCAGCACATTCATAACATGAGGTGCAAACCCGCGATCTTTCTCATGTAGAAATTTTCAGGTGAAAGCTCACGCTGAGAAGGTTCGTTCAAATCCAAAACTGAAGAAATGGATCGAAACTCGTCCGGATTCGAAATTCTAAGTGGTCTACTGGATCTCATGGCTGACGGTATCCAACAATCTCATAAACTGAACACCTTTCTTACTGGTTGTCGTAATTCTAGTGCTTGTGAGCTTGGATTTTGTAATTGTGAATGTTGCTGACTGATAAACTTTATTTATGTCAAAAGTATTCTGTTCTATTCAGCATCTTTATGCAAAGCAGCGGGTAGGCTAACTCAATTGGTCCCTCACGGTAAAAGAAAAGCTGCTGAGCTGATAACGAATGGAAACGCAACAAAGCGGTGGAAACTCCTAGGAGTAAAATCTCTATTATGCCCTTTCAACAGGGCGGTGGAACGAGTTAGCTGTCATCACAAGTCATCAACCATGCGCTTTTCCTCTTTGCAGCAAGGGCTGCAGCGCAGGACGCTTTTTTGGTTGGGCAATAATTGGTGGATTCCAAGTAGCCTTGCTCTTCCTACCATAGGTCACTTTGAGCGCGCCCTTCGCTGCAAAGCAAGCTACGCACTGCCCACTTGGGGATCTATTCTCTTTTCT